CCCCAAAACCCCAAAACCCCAAAACCCCAAAACCCCAACTCCAAGACTTTATTATAAATTTTGATATTTATTTGAAAAACCGAGACTGTTTCGAACCAATCTCTGGAAATTTATTGCCATTTAGGTAGTGGTCGTTGACTGTTCCATGCTTCATGGAACTCATAGCACTAGCTCTAGAGTAGGAGTAATTCCGTATATTTGACCTGAGGACCTTCCTTTTCTCTATAAATGAATGAATTTGGACCAATTGGAACTCAAAACAGGCGAAAGAATGGTTTACCTATGTTAATCTTGGCTTTCCAAGAAACTCCCCCTAAATTACTCGAAGAACTGTTCTTGTGTGTGACTGGAGAAATCCCATCAGCAATTTTCGAAGATTTCTCATAATAACTCTCAAGTCCCTGCGACTTTTTGTTCACAAAGGATGGTCTGGAGACGAGTTTATTTATAGGCACTAAAACATGGTTTAACGACCGAAAAATTCGGGTTGTCCAGTAGTAATACAAGCTTAAGATTGCAAGTCTTGAACTTACTTCTTACGCACACTTCCATTCTGGAACTTAATTGATGAAAAATTGATGTTTCCCTTGCCTAAAATAACACCGAGAACTTTACATGTAGCTTCAGGGGAGTGATAGCCCTTGCCAGGATTATTCTTAAAATGGAGTATGTCCTTAGCCTTAACTTTCTGAGTATTCTTCCTAAAATGAATTGATTAATGCCGCTAAAGGACTAATCTTACCCAAATTTCCTCTTCTTCTTCGCTTTCCCTGAGGCTCACAAAGTTTTCTTAGCCTTCTGTTTGTCAAAGTTAAAGTTGAGCCTTCCGCTGCCTTCTTTTATTGATTTTGAGACTAATAATGGAAAATTATAACTTATAATAAAAGTTTTCAGAAAACTTTGCCCAAAAGATGAAAGCTTGGTATCTTACATGCTGGAAGGAGATCTGAGTTCTTGATCATGTTCATTTTCAATGATTTTTCGAACAACATGTTTGGCTTGACACCATCTTCATTTGGAACTTTCTTCGATTTTGCTATGAAAATTATAGTTCACTAACTTACTTTTGGGCGATGGTGACTCCTGGAAAAAGGAATCATCAGATTCGCATTTTTGATTAAACCAATCGTGGTTAAGGATATCGTACATGTTGATTCGCTCGGATGGGTCCTCCTCAATCATCCGCTTGATCAGGTCTTTACAGTTCTTGCTAATCTTCCAATCTGAAAATCTCAACTTAGTAGAGACAGTTCGAGTGCCATCCTTATGCTTAGTCACGAAAGGATGCTTGCCCATAACGATTATGTAGAGGATGATTCCTAGGGAGTAAATATCAAGTGCCTTTGTAGCAGAGATGTCTTTCTTGTCCTTCAGCTCTGGTGCCATGAACTTCTCTGTGCCAGCATTAGTGCTTTCTCCTCGTGTGCCAGCACGCTTAATCCCGGCTATCCCAAAGTCCACTACCTTGAGCACCATATCTTCATAAGGCTCCTTGTTAGGATCCATTTCAAAAAGACTGTGATCTAAATTTCCATGCTGAGAGTAAGTGATCAAGATGTTCTGTGGCTTCAGGTCTCGGTGTATGATACCTTTTGAATGACAATGACTGACAGCTGATAGAATCTGCAACATAAAGAATTTCGCCTGTTTCTCGCTGACTCTATAACCTTCCTGCTTCACAAGGTAGTGCTCAAGTTCTCCCCCATCTGCGTAATCCATGACTAGACAAATATCATTTTTGACCTGGAAGGAATGGTGTAGCTTGATTATATTCCTGTGGTTTAGTTGCTTCAACATTTTTATTGCTCCCTGAAGAGATTTTCAATTTTATCAGCCCTGTTAAAGTAAGTCTCCGTCTTAATCGTTTTCATAGCGTAAATTTTCCCAGAATGCCTATCTTCAATTTTGTAGACCTTGCCAAATCCTCCTTGGCCTGTTTTCTTTAGGATTTTGAACTGATCCAGAATTTGGCCGTAGTTGAACTCATTCTTGTTAAGTTCCAAATACAATATATCATTGGATCGAATATAAAAAAGATCTTCTTCATGGATTTCAATTCCTTCATGGGAGAATACTCTAAAGCTGCTCAGTAAATCAGGGGTTGGGAGCCAGTCCTTGCCGAGAGCCATCTTGAACAACCTAAGCTGATTATTTAGTTAAGGTTGGAAAAGTTTCTGACTCAATTGCCTTCTTCTTTTCCTTCCTGACAGCTTCCATGAACTTTCTCTTGATATCAATCTCTTCTCAGATATGGCTGATAAAAGCCTGCATCGACTCTGTTCATTGGGGTATTAACTTCACTACAAACTCTTGGGTTTGCTTATCAAGAGATAACTCATCAGGGCTCTATATTTCTAGTAAGTAAAATAGATGAGCACAACTCTACAAGGCATGAACACCCCTGGTGTCCATGCTCTATAGGAGGGATTACCTTATTTATCCTCAGAAAGATAGACTTCTGGGCTGAGAGGTTGAACCCCTCTTCGCTTGCATTCAGTTCCATTTGTGATGAACTATTAAATTATATAAACTCTTCCTGGGGCTAATCCTCCTGGGGTTTTGGGGTTTTGGGGTTTTGGGGTTTTGGGG